TATATATATATATATATATATATATATATATGGAAAGATATAAATATATTCAAGTATTACTATGTTTTGATAATTGATATAAGCAAATCGTTTCAGTTTTTTTTTACTTTTCTATCACTGCGTTTCTTTAAAAGCTCTGTCAGCAGGGACTAGAGGAGGAAAGGTAAAAAATAGATTAAGGAATAGTGGTAGTAAAAAAATAATTACACGTGCGCCCGTGAAATATATCAGACAACACACTAATAGGATTGCCCATTTGATGAAGGAAGGATAAAGTAGACTAAGCACAAGGCCCTTGAATTATGTCTATCTGCCCGCCTAATTTAAGCGAATATTTTATGGGCGCATCTGGAGAAGTTTCAACGCTTCCTAAAAAGAGCTGATTTCCCTTAACTCAGAGTCGGTAAACGGAACCCCTGAGTGGAGGATACCCCGCTCCGTCAAGAACGCTAAGATACTGTTTACTGCTGCTCGATAGTTAGGAGCTTCTATCGGATGCAGAAGATGGGTTCGACGATAAGCTTCGGCTGCCGCAGCTCTCATTTCAGACTCTGCTGACAGTCGCTGCTCCTCGGAATCCTCGGGAGCTCGCTTCCGTATACGAGCACGCCGAACCTGCTCGTCCACAAATATGTAAAAGCCAACATTAGGCTTCGGTAAATCCGAAGGCCACTCGTAAACGGCATCACCCTCAGGCGGGAGCGTACGTGTCGTGAATTGATTAGCCAGCGCCATCGCACATGTAGAGCACCACCAGCGATCCAGGACCACGACCCGCTCCTGAGCGGCATGAAGAATGCCAGAAGCGGCAATATAATTAGAGCCTGAGTAGAATGCACGTAATAAAGCATTGTCTTGATTGAGGAACAACGGGCGAATGTCAGACCATTCAGATGGCGGTGTGTGAAGAGGGATACCTTCCAACTTGGAGGCTAGCGTATGCGATATTAATGTCTTCCCGACCCCATCAAGACCCTCTAAAACAATGATAGGTTGTCGAGTCCCGGAAGAAAAGGAAGCATCCGTGACTGACTCAATGCTGCTTTCAAGGGTTTCGACAAATTCAGTGCAACGCCGATTCCACCATGGAAGCGACAACTTCTGTGTCGCCCGCAGGACCCGCAAACAGTCTGACTTAGATCTATAGACGTAGAAGCCCTTGTGAAAGCTTTTTGCCAGCGCAAGAAGACTCTCCATCGCTAATCTGACTCAACGAACTTGAGAAGAAAAACGAAAAAAAAGGAAAGCTATATCTCAGAGAATATCACAATACTCTCCTCAAGAAGCCTTTTGTGTAGAGCATGTGGTGAATCTTAAATATTGTTCATACGACTTTCCACTTAACTCCTCCCCAGCACACATGAAGTAGTGCCCAAGAGACAGTGTGGAGAGAGCCATAAAGCACGTTTATCCACCAGCATGCACATTTCATTGATATGTTTGAGAGGCATCAATTTGCCCTTTTTCTATCTTGAATAATCGGTTAAGCTTTACAGCAGAGGGTGTTCATTAAAGTGCACGCAAGCCAGGGCTTGACAAAGGCAAAAGAATCATAAGGCCGAGGCAGGTCACAACAGAAACCAGTTATCACAGTACAGATGGTTGGATTGCGGGTAGGGGTGCTGCACAAACCACTTGGAAGGTGCCACCACGCGACGCAGCACGCTCTTGTTCAAGTAGGCCCCCCACCACGAAAATGTAGAGTTGGCCATAACGACGTCGTCACAGTGGGCTAGCATGATAAGCTCCAACACCTCACGCGGCTGGGATGTGTTTGAAGCTAGCGGCGCCTGCTTTTCGTTAGATGGGTGCACATGCGTGACGTGCAGCCCTAGATATTTTGACCTGAAGTAGTTTACCGCCAATTGACCCTCGCGTTCCTCCTCACAAAAAAATAGCAGCTGAATGGAAGGAGGTATGGTGGAACTGTGATTCCGTCTACACGGGGCTCGTTTATGCAATTCCCTCATCAATAACCCACCCAAGATGTGGCATATCGCAGGGTCGTAATACGAACCCAGGTCAAGCTGCTCAAACACATCAGTCATTTTCGTGTAGTCCCCACGGCGCAGATGAATACCAACTGTGTGGGGGTAATCACTCCCGTAGCTGTAGTTGGCCCGCAGATGCGTCATGGCTAACTGGTGTAGTCGGTGAGGTACTATCTCCTTAATTATGGGAAAGTCCCTAAAAAAAGACTCTGACTGAAAAAAACCAACCATATCGAAGCAACAAGGAACGTTTCTGCCGCAACTTCCTGGAGTTAGAAAAATGGGGGCGGCAGGACGAACCTCCTGTACGACTACACGCATCCGAGCGTCATCGAACGAGGTGTACTCATCGACGTATTCTACGCCAAAAGACTCAAGTGATTCAAAAATTGATGACCAGTACGTAGGTCGAGGTGCATCACAGCTGCTGCTCAACGAAAGTCGTGGAAGAACGGCAGGAATGTTATTGCGACGTGCGGTAGCAAGCAAATTGGCGACAAGAAAAAGTTGATTTCCTAGACCCCCTACGATATTTGTGGTTATAAAAGAACGAGATAAACCCTTCATACAAAAAATGCCTTTCCATGAGCTACTATATTTAAAGAAG